CAAGTTTAGTTTTATTTATTTATTTACCCCCCCCCCCCTAAAAAAAACAACAAAAAACGAAAAAACGAAAGAAATTGAAGTACTGAAGTACAATGATGAGAGCCCTCTGTGTTCCGTTCGTTTTGTCCTGCAGTACTTCTTGTACTTGTACTCTGATAAAGTACCTCTCACCGATGGTTCTAAGCTCCTCCAGCAGAGGGACTCGCGTGCTTTTCATTATCTTCAGATCAGCACAGAATATCAGTTTTGTCATTTTTGTGCTGGAGGACAAATTCTACAAATGATTTAAGTTCACAGAGGAGGAAGTTCAGAGGTCAGAGGTCACCGTCCTCTTGATCTCCTGTGATGGACTGATGAGGAGCAGAAGCTGCACCGGTCCACGAGTTCAACGAGTCAATTAATCGACAAATATTTTCATCATTTTTTAAGTTAAAATTGATGATTGAAGCTTCTGAAATGTGATGAGTTGACACTTTTCTTTGTCATATCTGATTATAAACTGAATATTTTCTGACACTTTACAGACAAAATGATGAATCGATTCATCGAGAAAATACTTTTACTTTTGGTACTTTAAGTATATTATGATACAAATACTTTTGCGATTCTAGAGTTTGAATGCAGGATATTTACTTGTCCCAGAGTACTTCTTTTCATTGGTATTACTACTTATGATCAGAGTACTTCTTCCGCCACTGTTTAGATAGAAAATGGAGATAATCACAATATTAATAACTTATATTTCTCACATGAATCTCTTTCTGGATCAGAGCAGACTGCATCGGCTGAAGAAGAGCGTGCGGTGCGATCAGAAGCTGCTGAAGAGCTGCTGGGTGTGAGGAGGAAGTGACATCATTTATTCTACTTACATTTTGGATTTTTTTGGATGCTTTTATGTGTTCATCACTTTAAATACTTTGTGTACTGCAGGTAGTTTTATCTGTAACAATACATCATTATTTATTGATTTTATTTTCTATTAATAAGTGCAAAGTAACTTGCTGTAGTGCAGTACAAATGTACAATAATTATCTTTGAGATGTAGTACAGTATAAATATAAAGTAGCAGATATAAAGTACAAGTACTTAAGTACAGTACATGTACTTGTACTTCAGTCAGAAACAGAACCATTAAATAGAAACGCATGAATTGTAAATGATTCGGTAATATAAAGTACCTCAATATTGTATTTGAGTACAGTCCTTGAGTAAATGTAATTAGTTACTTTATGTCCCTGTATTGTTTAATGTTTGTAGTATTTTCCTATTTACAGTAACAGTGGAATAGAACTAGTCAATTCACACAAAGTACAGGTACTTTATGTCGTACTACTACTTCATACTTTACTACTTAAGAGTAGTATTTCCCTCTGAGAGGTAGTGGGGTAGAAATATAAAGTAGCAGAAAATAGTCAAGTGAAGTACAGTTGAGTAAATGTAGTTTCCAACATCAGTCAGAGCCATTAAATACAAAACATGAAGTAATAGTTACTCAAGTGAAGTACAAGTACTTATACAGTACTTCAGTACGTAGTTACTTTATGTCACTGTATTGTTTAATATTTGTAGTTTTTCCAGTAACGGTGGATCCAACTAAGTAAATATACACAAGTACAGTTAAGGTACTTATGTACTATACTATACTTTCTACTACATACAGTATTAGTTCCCTCAGAGTGAAGTAGTAATATCAAATGGAAAAACTCAAGTATCTTAAACTTGTAGTTCAGTAAATGTACTTCGTTACTTTCCACCATTTAAATTAGATGCAGAAACATTTCAGAACTATTTCTGAAATGATTTGAATGCATTTCCTTTCGATAAGAACTGTGAGTGGAGACATTTCCTACTCTGAGTATTTGTACTGTACTGCAGCTCGTGTGTGTGTAATTATGTGTGCGTGTGTGTGTGTGAAATTGTGTGTGCGTGCTGTGCGCACATGCTCAGTGGAGGTTTCTTTTTTTTTGCGCACAGAGGCTTTAAGAGCGGAGCGGCTGGAGGCAGACGGCAGCAGAGAGACCGGAGAGACACCGGAGGAGGAGAGCTGGAGCTCCGTCAGCTGCGCGTCTCAGACCCCGGATGAACCGACACCGACACCGCGGAGGAGGAGGAGGAGGAGGAGGACCCGGCTCTGTGCGGGGCTCCCGGAGCTAAGGCGCATGTATCCGCGCCACGCGGGGCTCTTTACGCACAACTTCTCCTCCATAGACTCTTTATAATATATATTTTATATTGATATAGTTTCCTCATTATTGTCATCATGGTGCTGGGCAAAGTGAGGGCCCTGGCGGTCTACTTCGACAGCCTGAACGAGAACAACCTGCCGGCGTTCTCCGGCGGAGACCAGGTGTCCGGGCGCGTGGTGGTGCAGGTGAGCGGAGACGTGCGCGTGAGGAGCTTGGAGGTGACTGCGAGAGGAGTCGCCAAGGTGCGGTGGACCGAGTCCAGGAACACCGGAGCGAACACCGCGTACACGCAGAACTACACGGAGGAGGTGGAGTACCTGCAGCACCGGGACACGCTGATCGGAGAGGACCGAGGTAAGACTTTGTTTACACGATCAGCTGATCGCTGCACAAACTTTTGAGACACCAGCTGATTCCTGTGATTTCATTTAAAAAAAAACAACTGAAAAAACTTTATTAATACAGAGAGACACAAACAAAAGAAGCCTGAAAACATCCGCTGGTGACAGTTTTTGGTGCTGATGCAACAGCTGATGTTCTCTCTTCAAACGAGCGCGTGCGTTATGGAATCAAACGGCTTCACGTGCACACAGTGAAGCTTTTAATTAATAAGAGGCGGTTGTTGCTTCACATCTCAGTTTACTGCAGGAAGGAGAACACAAGTTGAGAAACACAAAAAGAAAGAAATCGATCCAATAAAAAATCCAACGTTTTTTTATGGTTGATGTTTTGTGCATCGATCAGACTGAAGGAGCAGAAACGTGTTTTCTTTACTGATGACATCCTGAAGCGAGGCTCAGCAGCCAACTCCCTTTGTTAGAAGCGGTTCAAACCTGTTCACAAACGGCCAGAGAGGGAGGGGCGGAGGAGGGAGGACCCAGCTGACTGCGTGTGTGTGTGTGTGTGTGTGTGTGTGTGTGTGTGTGTGTGTGCGCGCGTGTGTGTCCGTTGAATAATATGAGCCGCTGTTTAAAGCTCCACCTGTTGTTTTGTACTTGTTTTACTTGTAAAACGATGCAAACAGGACAGTTTGATGTGAATGAGATAATAACTGAACCAGTTCATGTGAGGCAGACTGGTGGTTCTGCTCTAAATGTGAGAACATGTGAAGGATTGAGAGACATTTCATCCACAAGAAGCAGAAGAAGAAGCAGAAACATGGAGGACTTTTGTTTATTGAATGGACTTCCTGTCAGAGTTTGTTTCTCTGATGGAGGTCAAAGGTGAAGAAGAAGTGAAACGATGACATCAGAGTCAACTTTAGGGATGAAGTGATGAACTCTTGACTCAAAGGAAAGGATGAACATTCCTGAGCTTTTGATTGCGTCACATGATCTTCCTCAGCTGAAGATCCTCAAATATAAAAAGCTCAAAATATCTGCAGATTTAAGAACTGAAGTTTACAGAACAAGAAATGACAAACCAGGGTTAATCATTTCAATAATAATCTATTCATTAATGTAGAAGAGAATAAAAGTAAGATTTAACAAAAGTATAAACAATAAAATAACAGAAATCATGTAAAGACAGATATAGAGACAGCGGTCCTCTGGACAGAGACATGTACATAAAACCTCCAACCTTCCGACATCACAACAAGAGATACTCATTCAAAGAGATGTGTTTGTACTCGCTGTACGTCTTCTTTTCTGTCTCTTTGTTTTTGGCTCAGTTTTTAGTCGTTTTTGTCTCTTTTTGGTAGTTTGGTGTCTCTCTGTAAGTGAGGACCTACTTACCTCGATGACATCACTGACATGTCTATTTATTGAACATTAAATCTTTATCTGATGACGTGAAGCTTCGTATGCTTGTAGTAGTTTCAGGGTTTTACACGGGTTTCTGGAGAGGTTTTATACTTCTTGTTCTTTATTGATTGAGCCGGAAACCTTCGATCTGATCTAAACACAAAGATATTCATATTAATATCACACGAGACAAAGAAATCTGAAGACAAAACAAACAACTTAAAGGAAAACAGCTGCTTCAACTTTGTGACTTAAAGTTCATCGTTGGACCTCAGCTGAGGAAGACCATGAGATTCGATGGAAAGCTCCAGAACAGCTGCTAAATGGATCTCCTGGTGAGATGTCTGTAGTTTTCATCAATGGTTTACATGTTGAACTTTTGTACCAGGATGTAAATGTGATGAAGACTCTTTATTTCCTCTTTAAATGTGATTTATTTTGAAAGAGTAAAGAATCAAATGGTGTGAGTGTGAAAGCTGTTTTTCTCCTCATCTTTTATTTAAGTCTCAGAGTTTCAGGTCTACCTGTTAGTTCACTGTTGGTGTCTGACGCCCTTCCTCCTCTTCCTCCTCTTCCTCCTCTTCTTCCTCCTCCTCTCATGCGACACACCACATGGCTGTACTAATGTGGGAAGGGGCTTGTCTCGGCCGAGCCAATCAGAGCCCAGATTGTAATGCGTGTCACATTCTCCTCCAATGAGGAGCCGAGTTGTGATGCAGGCGTTGGAGTTTCCAGCTGAAGGAGGCTGATCAGTCTGGTTCATACCGGTCTACTCCTGCTCTCTGTGTGTGCGTGTGTGTGTGTGTTCGCGGCCAACCTGACACACACATGCATGCAAGCTGTTGATAACAGCTCTCAGCCGAACACAGACAGACAGACAGACAGACAGACAGACAGACAGACAGGAAGCTGACATCATCATGTTTAATCTGAAGAACAAATAAAGAAAAGAGGAAGTAGAGTTCACGTTTCTGTTTGTAGCTTCAGCTTCTTCACTGCTGCTGAAACTAAAATACAGGAATACAGTTACATTATTTCAACATATATAGAGTATTTGAACTATGTGGTATTAGTACTGTTACTGTAACAGAGTA